CACCGTGGTTACGTACGTACATGTGGTTTGTTGCTACATCTCTGATCAGTGAGTCTAACTCACTCACTCGTGGTGTGTGCATCAGAGAGGAGGACTACCTGTCTTTCTCCATGCTTGCCCTGGATCTCCACGTAGTCGTCAGTGACTTTCACACTGAGCTCATCAGGAGAGAAGTGCTTGACGTCCAAGTAGACTGTGAACTTATCCCTGTCAGATCTCACCTGAGGGAGACAAACACAGAGAACATCTCTTGACCTTAACGTCTAAAACTTTACGTCAACAACTTCATTTCTTGACTCTATGTTGCATGGAGCACAGCAGATGTTAGCTTTCAGTCTAAACTCAAGAAAATTCAGATTTTTACACAAGTATTAAACAAGAGATGTACGCGGTCTGTCCTCTAATAACCACAGAATATGAGATAAATCTTTTACCTCTGAGATCCCAGAGTTGGAAAAATCCAAAACGTTGCGGAAGAGTGACTGTCTGTAATAGGGGCTGATGGTGGAGGCGGCGTAAGGGAAGAGGTCGTAATCAAACATGCCCTCTCCAAAAAACTGGTCAAAGAGTCTGGCAGGGTAGACGGAGCCCAGGGCACGTCTGAACCAGGGGTGCTGGATGGCAATATCCATAGCAACTGGAGACAGTCTGGTCTGCTTTGGCGTGGTGGGGAATCCAGCAGATGAAAAATGGAGGTGAGGTAAGAATGGGAGAACGATGGCGGTAAAGCAGTGACTGAAGAATGCTTTCAGAGTGCTTTGCTCCCCTCGCTACAGCTGCCTCCTCTTTATATACCTGAGAGCCAGAAAGAGAGGCTTTAGCCACGATCCCTCTGGAATGGCATTATCTCAGCATGGTGGGTTGGGCCCTGTCAGCACAATCAGGGTTGAGGATGGGGGGGCACCACTAGGTCCAGTCCCTGCTGGGACGCAGCGGTAGTCACATCAGACACCCGGGGCTGCCAAAACAAACTGTGCTAGACGGAGAGGAGGAGGGGAGACACAATGAGCTCAGGAAGCCAACTAAAGACACAGAGGGATTTCACCTGTGTGACAATGCATCGCACACATACACGTAGATCTGTTCTGTCAGTCAGTCGGTGACATAATGCTGTGCTATTGTTCTGCCTGTGTGTTTGGATGACGGGCAGATTTAGTAACAATGCAGCCCAGAGTCAATGGAACGACAGCTGACAGAGAAATGTGAGAAAGGAAGTGTGCCCTTCAATTCCAGCGTTTTACAATGAGGGGAAATAAAACGGGTCTGGACCTCAGCAGGCCTTGCAAAGGTTGGACCATCAGTACTGAGAGAACCTGCATGTCGTACTCTACAGTCCTCAAGTTAAAGTTCACAAGAGTACAATCAGAAAAGGACTGAACAAGTGTGGCTTGAAGGGCGTCTAGGAGAAAGCCTCTTCTTTCTATAAAGAACATGGCAGCACAGCAAAATCCTGTGGAACAATCAATCCATTTATTGATAAGCACATTTAAAAACAACAGGTTGACCAAAGTGTTGTACATAGTAAAAAAGTAGATCGAACACACACAAAGAACAAAACAAAACTCAGTCACGATCAAAAGCTAGAGAGTAAAAATGTGTTTTCAAACGGGTTTGAGAGAAGTTGGATGATCTGATATCGTCGTGTTGGTGTTGTTCCCAGATCATCATGAAAATGTTGTTCCAGGTTCAACATTGCAAGTGACCAATCACATTATTGT